CTGGCTTTCACTATTCGTGCATTGATCTCATCACTCACACCCCCACCAGCACTTATGCAGCTACCCAGATACACGAACTTCTCAACTACGTCTATCTGCTCACCATCCAGGGTGAGTACAGGATTAGAATCCTGCCAGTCTTGTAGAAGTACTTTGCACTTCGAAGGTGCAAAGCACATACCATACCTACGGACACTGATTGCCAACTGATTAAGTGCGGATTGCATGCCTTGGGCATTATCGCACAGTAAGACAATATCGTCCGCATACTCAAGGTCGAGAAGTCTTTCTCCAGGCAACAGATCCACACCACCATTACTTACATTCATCAGAGCTGTTTCCAGAATGTCATCGATGGCAAAGTTGAAGAGGAATGGTGAGATTGGGCAACCCTGCCTAACCCCACTGCTCGAATGGAACAATGGAGAGAGGTGGTTGTATGCCCTCACTCTGCCTGAGGTGTTTTTATACAGGGCTTTTAGGATGTTAATAAACTTCTCAGGCACACCCTTCTTCAATAGACAATCCCAGAGAACAGTCCTGTCCAACGAATCGAAGGCAGCCCTGATGTCAAGAAACACTACGATTGTTGGCCTTTGAAAGTATGGCGGTGTTCTAACATTTGGCGGAGGGTGAAGATATGATCAATACATCCTCGACCAGAACGAAACCCAGCCTGCTCCTCGCGAGTCAATCTTTCTCGGGTTTTGAACAACCTACGAAGAATGACGGAAGCCAATAGCTTGGACGCAATCGGAAGTAGACTTATCCCCCGATAGTTGTTACAGGAACGACGTGAACCCTTTTTAAAGATAGGGACAACTATCGACTCATTCCATGACGTTGGTACACTCTCTAGTTCCCAAACCTTTGTAAACAACGTCGTCAATTCCTTAGTCAAAAAGTCACCACCATCTTTAAAAAGAGCCGGAGGTAAGTCATCTGGGCCAGGTGATTTGTAACGCTTCAAGAGTTGGAGTTCCTTGCGGACTTCCTCCTCATTTGGTGGATCAGTCGTCACCGGCCATGGAGGGCAGGACAGTCTGACCGATGTTGCCGGAGCAGCAGGCCAGTTGAACTGCCCTTCGAAAAATTCTGCCCATCGTCCAAGACGTCGATGGATGTTAGTGATTGGCATCCCATCATCCTCGCAGATTGTTTCACTCACACCAGACTTCTTGCTGCCAGTGGCTCGGATGAGCTGGAAGAGCTTCCGGTAGTTACCAGATGCAGCTGCTGCTTCCAGCTCATTAGCACGCATCGACCACCAGGCTTCTCGGTCCTTACGCAAGCTTTGCCCAATTTCCTTACGTAACATCCTTCGTTTATGGTCAAACTCACGGTCACCCGGAGTAGACCGACGGGCTTCAATGAGTTGTAAGGAACCAGAAGAAACCCAGTGCTTAAAAGCGGGACGTTTCGCAAACCCACAACTGACTGTTCCCGCCATTTTCATGGCGTCATGCAATTGCAACCAATGCTCATCTATACTTTTCGGTGGAGTGGTAGCTAGCCTAGAGGCTAGCTCGGTTCGATACTTACTTGCAACAGAAGTTGCAACCAGCTTGCTAACATCAATCCGTTGATGGCGTTCACTTCGTTGTCCACTGAAAAGTAAGGCAAGATTGGCGCAGACCAAGGCATGGTCAGAGTCCAGATAGGTACTCCAAAAGGAGCGGCAGTCTTGTACACAACCACGCCAGCGGTAGCTGATCGCGATGTGATCAATCTGAGTCCAGGCTTGAGATGCAGAGGGAGGACGCCAGGTGGCACATCGGCGATGACTGTGCCGAAAGTTAGTGCTAGCCAGAAACAGGTTGTGGTCTGTGCAAAGTTGCAGTAGACGGTCCCCGTTATCTGACCTGCGACCAACGAGTCCCCATCGGCCACCTAAACGACTCTCTTCTGTGCCTAGACGCCCGACCTGAGCATTCAAGTCTCCGGCTAGTACTACAATATCTGTCGAACGCACTTTCTGGAGAAGAACTGATAACTGGTGGTAAAACTCATCCTTGATTGCATCCGGGCTGCAATCTGTCGGGGCATAGGCGGAGATGACGAAAAGACATCGTTTCTCACGCCGATTTCTTCTCACTTTGATGGAACTTTCTAATCTAACAGCACATAACCGACTGTTAATGGGGATCCAATCGACTAGTGCTGCCTCAGCTCTAGCGCTTAGTGCGACACCAACGCCAGCAAGACCAGACGAAGATGCCACAGGGTCCCCGGATAAGCGCACGTAAAACAAGCTTTTCGAAGCGACAGATGGAGATCGAATTTGTAGTACTTCGCCAGAGTCTTGAATACGGGTCTCGGATAGACAACACACGTCGATATTAAGACTTTCCAAAGACATAGCCAGCCCTATCTGTTGTCCGACCTGCATAAATGTGCGAACGTTGAAGGCAGCCAGTTTGAATGGTGCACGTGGTTTCAGAAAAACTGCTTCAGTCCTCGTATTCGGTGGTAACATACAATTTTCAACCGGACAGTGACTCGAGAACGCTTAGATACAGTCGAATTTCCACCATAGACGAGCTGCTGTATAACTCGAAAAATTAGTATAAATAGAGTGGGAATAAAAGAGGGTGAATAATGAGGTATTAAATAATAATAATAATAATAGTAATAATAATAATGCGAGTCACTTCATTGTTAGTTGGAGCGAGAGGAATATTTTTTATAAGTAGATAGTTTGTCATGTTTTTGTGTGCGGGTTGAGATACTGCCTAGGTGCCCAAACTGAAGCAGGTGGTTTTCTTAGGAGGTCACACCCCGAGCCTTTGACCTAAAGGTCTAACCCACAAGGCAGTGGAGCATCGTGAGGAGATGCAGTCCCATGGTAGCCGGTGACCAACAGTTGGTTCATACGCCATTTGTTCCTACAGGATACTGGAACCCATGTGCACCATTGGTTTGGGATCCGGTTAAAGCGCCGGCCATTCGCTTTTCGTCCTCTCATTTTCGTAAACAACACCCGTGGTGCGAGAAGGCAGTGAGTAGGACTTCCCTGGCAGAGACTGTATACGCGTGGCCGTGTGAGAGTATTTCGAGAGGGAGGGCGAACCCACCCCGCCCTCGACCATATCAGGGCATTTGGAGGCCTTGTACACAGAATGTTAAGTTATCTTGTATATTCAGTCTTTCCTTTGGTTTGTGGATAATTAACTTTGTATTGCTGTTGTCTGACAAACGTTCAGTTTATTGGAGTTCCTATTCACTGAATTGTATTATTAGAAGTTTCAGTCATTCGTAAGAAGAATTATACGTAAGCCAACAGGCAATTCCAATAAGTTACTTGTTCGTGGGAAATAAATCAAACATATGGGACATCTGTTGAAAAGAAACTAATGATTTCAACTAAGGTCTCAGTCATGTTTCTATCTTTTGACAAAACAATAATGCTATGTAGCAATGTCAACACACGACCTATTCACACCTTATAACAAAGAATTACCAGCAAACCAATGAACTGATATTCAGTTTCAATTAATTCAAAGTAATGTACAACCACCACCCATTATCATCATCAACATGACTGAATTTCAGTGGTTATAGTTTTTTACTAGAAATCTGGAAATTGCATCACTATTACTTACTTAGTTACTTACGACTGTTATCCACAATGGAGCATAGGCTGCCGACAACCATTCTACAATCCATTCTGTCCTCAGCTTTCCTTTCTAGTTCTATACAATTCTTGTTCATTCTTCTATGTCTGTCTACATTTCTCGGTGGAATGTGTTCTTTGGTCTTCCTTTTTTCCTTTGACCTTAAAGATTCCAATTGAAGGCTTACCTTGTGACACATCTGGATGCTTTTCTCAATATATATCCTATCCACTATTGATTAAGTCATAATTGTTATTATAATAAAGTTGTTTAAAACTATTAAATTTTCAGTTTTAAATGGTAACTGATTTCAGTTTGAAAAAGAAAAAAACACAATAGAAACTAAATGAGAATAGAAAACTTTTTTCTAGTATAATTCTATTTCATAGTAAGTATTCAGTACCTGGAAACGGGTACTAGGTAAGGATGGCAAATAAACTGATAAAGTAGTGAGAATTCATCAGTTGAAATGTCCAACGACTGACTGCCTCGACGTGCGATGTTCAGTGGTATAGGAGTAGGTTGGAAGAAAGCTAGAGGCGGCCAGACTAAAATATAGCACAAATCCATGAAGTCACTGAAAAGTGGACCGAGTCATGTTGGTAGGTGTAGACTATCTGGTTGGGGACCGCGAGATGATAGCAACCGATGGTTAGAGACCCTGAATGACATGGCTCAAAATCGTTTGCAATGGTGCAGGTGCATCCACTCTTTGTGTTCTCCCGAATTCTAATCTTCTGAATCCTTCATGTCCCTTTATTTTCTTCTCTTTCCAAATTTGTTTCACTGGATCATACTCTTTAAATAAGATCTCCAAACCTTAATCTTTCCGATTACTGCTTATACTTTTACTACCACTACTACTACTACGGGATTTGAATCGACAACTGCGTCTCTGTGATAATGTGGTATGGCAATTCGAATTGATGTACGTACTTGCGAAGTTCTACGTTGTTACTGACTGACTGACTGACTGATTCAGTAGATTAAATCTTATCGGATTTAACATTTGATACCTTGTATGTGTAAATTTAATCAATATTCAACAGTCCTGTTGATTTTTAAAGGTTCTTTTACTAGATTTAGTGTATTATACCACCAATAGTAATAATAATAATAATAATAATAAAAGTTGTTTGAAAATTGAGAAATCAGCAGATTAACACACAAGCACATACACACACATACACATACACATAATTTCTTACAACAGTAAATATCCACAGTCTCAGCAAGGAACAAATCTAGTACATTAAAACATTATCAAATTTGACATTCAATACTTTGTCTATGTAAATTGAATCAATATTCAATAGTCTCCTATACAAAGTCTGTTGACTTTTTTTTTGAAGGTTCCTTCAACTAGACTTTGTCTACCAATCATAATATGAATTGTATGGAAATTGAGAGAAATCAGCACATCCACACACACACACACATACACACTTGTGTATACAAAGATGATTTTCATTGTGTACATTTATATATTCATGTATATTTAATATTGACAACATCTATTTACATATATACTAATGGTATTCTACATGGTGTAATAAAGAAAGGTACTATCATTAATTATCCAGGTAACGAAAAGATAATACATTAAAACGATAGATATGCCTATAAACGAATGACTATAAATATAGATGTACATCTAATGTTCTTCTTATTTTTCAACTATTTCATATATACAGAATAAACAAACTAACAATGTAATTCACGTGTTTTCATGATAATCTATTGAACTTACTAATTAGATTGTCATGTTACTTCATAATTGAAACACAAGACTATTGTCATCATCATCATCATCGTCATCATCACTATGATCGTCATCATGATGATGATCATCATCATTGGAAATCATTTGTTTCACATATATTTTTCATCTAGTATTGACTGGATACTTCACTTTCAACCACACATACACACACAGAGAGAGAGAGAGAGTCGCACACACATACACACAGATACAGATTGGCGCACATGTACACATAATAGATCATTTAAAGAAGCTTTCTATATATCATTCATTCATTCAACCATTTATCCATTGATTCACTTCATTCACTTTATTTCCATCAGAATGAAATGGAATCTTTTTCATAAGAAATATTATACTACTGATAAACTGAATTCATCCACTACACGTACAATCTATGCTCATCATTATAAGAATTTAAATGGTGAATTATATCATCATAATTATTGTAATAATCATATACATTCAACACATTATAAATGGTATAATTTTTTTTATAAAAATTTTTATGAACAATTTCATAATATAGCAAATATTTATTTTTTATTGATTATTATTACTTATTTTTTTGTGGATGATGGTGGGAATGCCTCAGTAACTATTATCCCATTAATTGTTATCATATTGATTACAATGATTAAAGATGGTTTAGATGATTTATTACGTTATCATTTTGATCAACAATTAAATTCTATTGAATATCATGTATTAACAATTGATTTTCATCGAAAATCAATAAATTGGATTTTGAAAAAATCCTCCTTATTATTAGTTGGTGATGTAATTTATTGTCAAAATAATCAATCATTTCCATGTGATTTATTATTATTATATTCATCTAATAATAATGGACAAGTTAATATTACTACAATGAATTTAGATGGTGAAACAACAATTAAACAATATTATTCATTAATTGAATATCAATCAATTTATTCACAATATTCAAATAATCATTTAATTCAAACAAATTTGAAACAATTCAATTTTCAATTTATCATTGAACAATTATATTTACATGTAATATGTCAACAACCCAATGAGAATTTAATGACCTTTCAAGGTCATTATGAAACTGCTCAACATTTAAATCATCATCATCATGATGGGGATGAAGGTGATAATGGAACATATTTACCATTAAATAGAAAAAATTTAGTATTACGTGGATCTAAATTAATATCTACAGATTATATAATTGGTTTAGTTATTTATACTGGTAAAGATACAAAATTATCATTAAATAGTAAAAATTCACAAAGAAAATATAGTACACGTGAAAGATTATCTAATATAATTTTATTAATGTTTATGGTTGCCATGGTAACTATCACATTCATTGTTACTATCATATCAACTTTATGGATAAAACAAAATATTAATAAAATATGGTATATTACATTTGAATTATTAACAATATGGCAATTTATTCGTAGTATATTTCGTTATTTATTTATTATTAATTATTTAATACCAATATCTATTATAGTTACTATAGAATTTCAACAATTACTATTTGCTTATTTTATATCGAATGATATTACTATGTATAATTCAATAGAGAATATTAAAAGTTATGCAAATACATCACAATTATCCGATGAATTAGGTCAAATTGAATTTTTATTTTGTGATAAAACTGGAACATTAACACAAAATTTAATGAGATTAAAATCATTTTGTTTATTATCTAATGAACAATTATATCAATTTTATAATGATCAGGATCAGGATCGAGATCAGGATCAGGATGATGATCATGATAATACTACTGAATTAACTACTTATAATGTATTGAATTCATCTTTGAAATTATCAGATAGAAATGAACATTTTCGTGAATTTTTAACTATCATATCATTATGTCATACTGTTGAATTAAAAAATCATACTCAAATGATTAGTAATAATAATAATGATAATAATAATGTACAAGAATCATCAATGAATACTGATGAACCATCTAGATTTTATGAATATGAAGTAAGTCTAAGATAAATTACATATTATATGTCACATTTTGTCATTCAATTTGTATGTCGGCTACCATAATGTCCGGGTGTTCAAAGTGAATCAGGTGGTTTGCTTAGAGGGCCATATCCGGAATCTTTGACTACAAAGTAGTGGAGTAACGTTAAGAGATGAAGTTCCATGATAGTCGGTAACGGTTATAACTTGTGGCTTATGTGCCCTGTTCATGTATAACGTGACGATACCGCCAATTAGAGAGAAGTGAATTATCAATCGAACCAGTAACACATAAAACACATGTGAGCAGCCTAGAGTCTTGATTGATCCTGCTTTCCGCCTAGCCCAGCCAGTTAAGTCCAGAACACCAATCTCAGCCTCTGCGATATGAATCATGTATTTCTAGCATACTGGGTTTATATACCAGTCAAACAGACCACAACATACCATAAAATAGGAAACAACATTTGTACAACATTTGGCCAAACGTGGCTGTGAATGTGGGAAGCAGTGACTAATAGACAGGGCATAATTCAAGAATGGTAAGTCGTATAATAATGGTTCATAGGTCAGAATAAAGCTTATGATAAGAGAGACATTAATATGTATACTTTAGTTACTTAAAAACTATATTATAAGAATATATGCATAGTATTGGTCTATAAATGGAACTCAAAAGTTACCATTCATTCATAGTAACCAATAATAGGTCTATACACCATATGTTCCTTTAGTATCCAGGAGCTAATTTTTTCATTCTCTTGGAGTCATATTTTCATCTTGTTAATTATTTGCTTATTAATTTTGACTATTTCTATATGAGCATATATATGTGCATACTTCCTATCCTATTCATCACATTCTCTGTAACTTATTTTTATCTGGTTATAAATATTGATTAACCGCTTGATGCAATCGAGTTGGCCAGTATGCTTTCACCACTGTGTGCCATTTCGTTTTGTTTCGCTTTCTCTTCTTTACTTTATTCGTTACGATTCTCTAATTCTTTGTTCCGATCAACAATTATAAAAAGTAAACGTATTCGAAAATCCATTTCGTTCTAGGCTAATTCGAGTGAAATCAATGATTATATAAGAGGATTGACGTTATGCATATTTCAATATAGATCAACATATAATCCAATTGAAGTCAGAAATCGGGGCCACTATCATAGCAAATATTGAGTGTTTACATTCAAATTACCAACATTAGTAAACTGTAAACTACTTAAATAATTATTTATAACCATTTGTATGAAGTGAATATTTCACTTTTCAATTGAGATTATCATCGAATAACAACTGCTATTGAAAAAGAATATTGTGTCATTATTGTGTCATTATAACAAGACTTGGATTTCACAATTTGCTCTATTGAAGATATCTATGAATAGAACTTAATAAAAAACATTTGGAAGCATTGGACGGCCGTTTCCTTCTAGTATGAGACTGCCCCGCTCGCGAGGTTCAAACCCAGGATCTTCTGTCTCGCGCGCGTACGCTTAAACTCCAGACCACTGAGTCGAAATCCAACAATGTTAATGTCTGACTTCAATCGATCAACGAAATTATACCACTGTCCACCATTGTCTTCAGTGAGTTACTGCCTCACAACAAGATCGTGGATATGCACTGCTGAGGAGTACCACAATAGGACAAAACGGCCGTCCAGTGATTCCAGGTTCTCCATGGTGATGTAGTTTCAACTGACTCATCAATGCAGCTTTTAAATTCCTACAATCCCCATAAAACCTTCTTTCTGAAAAGAAATAAGCCTTTGCAATTATCCAGTAGTTCAAAATGTAAACCAGTGAAATGCAACTTTGATCTGAATGTTAAGAGCTCACTATTAACCGTCAATGTTCTGGAACTGACCGTCTGATGGAGTAGTCGATTGACATTGTTAAACAGTCCCAAACTAATATGAAACAGCTTCCTGGTACTTTTTGTTTTATAATTAATGTCAAACAATTATGGACACAGTATGAAGTTACTCAGGTAAGTAGCTATTTTTCACCTTAGTTGATAGAATTTGGCTATCCATGAGAAAAAGATATACACAAGGTTGGTTAGTACTCGATGAATGCATTTGGTTAAAATCACTTTCATATTAACATATTTAATAATCTATCATCCTATCAATGAAATTGTGAATACATTTTACAAAATTTCATTAATACACAAGAATTGTTTGATTATTTCAGTTATAATGTAGTGTGTGCTACTGATGTTGACAGATATAAGTAGTATGTATCGTCAATTGAAAGTGAAATGCCCGACAGTATAAGGTTAAGTAGATCGAATAAAAGGGAACGAGAGCAGTGAATGATTGGCATGGAAATGAAAGAACAATAAAGTCTGAGACGATTGACTGACATTTTGCAAATGAATTAATTACTGTGTTTCTAATATCTTACTAAGTGATTCTGTAATTTAATGCTCAAATGCATTCGGTTGTCCCAATTGGTACTCTCGTTCCCTATTCACATAAGACTAAAACTTTGTGTACTGTTGCCGACTGCTTCATTATAAGTCAAATTACATTAACACCGTTGGATGTCTGCTCAGTGGTCTAGAGGTTAAGTGTTCGCGCGCAAGACTGCCAAGCACTGGTTTCAAATCACGCAAGTGGGCTCATGGATGAGCACTGCTGAGGAGTCCCACAATAGAACGAAACGGCCGTCCAATGCTTACAGGTTTGCCATCGTGGCCTAGTTTTAATCAGCTCATGAATTCAGCTATTAGATTACTATAATATCCATAAAATCCCTCTCTTCTTTATCTTTTTTCAATTTTAAGGCAACATCACCTGATGAGAAAGCATTAGTTGAAGGTGCTTCAAAACTTGGTGTTGTATTTTCAGGCAAAGAACCTGATTTCAATGAGACTGGTTCATATAAATTATATATTGATTATTGGTCATATTCATCAACAACAATAAAAGAGTCAAATAATGAAAAGTTTATTGATCGTCAATGTTATATTGTTGATGCTGTATTGGAATTTGATCCAACACGTAAACGTATGAGTGTCATGGTACGTTATCCTGATGGAACATATTATGTATTGAGTAAAGGAGCAGAAACTGCAATTTTAGACCCTGAGGTAATCTCACTTCATCTTTTATCTATTTTCCTAGTATGTTAATAGTTTTATGATAAAGTAACATCACTTAAAGTAATATTGTGAAGATATGTTATGTTCTGAACAGTGGTTTCGGTTTTATACGACATTCCAATAATAGAGTTGGAACCTACAATCTTCTTCGAGACCGTTAAAAGTACTTTTAGATATCTGCTTACTCTTAAATAAAAGTACTCACTACTCATATGTGATTAGTACGACAATTGCGAATATGTATGTTATCTTATTTAAGGGTAAACATTTAAGAGAATGTACCATAATCTTAGCTGAATTCAATAATGTAATGACTTATGATAATTACCACTTTTCAACCAGTGTATTAATACTATATGATAATAAGGTATCTTTTTAAAGATCATACGTTCATCTTTTATAAACTTTGAAAGGCCATAATGTCGGAATAGGAATCTTCACAGTTACTGAAAGAACCCTATTGAAACTGTGAACAATAGTACCTACTTATTTCAATTCTGATAACTAAGTACTATGTTTATATGTTATATTTATCATAAATTGATCTTAGTTCGAGTATCTTTGAGAACCAAGAATCAATGAACAGCTGTTCAGTCCGGGTATGAGAATCGAGACCGCGCATCGACAATCTTACTAGAGAACAACCCCAGGTTCTTGAGGTATCATAATAAATGCATAGCCATTAGAACCAATGATTTATTCTTCAGCAGAGTTAGATAGTGGCTCAAAGTGGAGTTCAAGATGCACGTTTTTATCCTGTTTTAGACCCATTGTCTGGATGTATCTACACCCATGTTGAAGTTACCACTGGGACTCGGACCCAGTAGCTTCCGCTTTAAATACCGAAGCGTTATATACAGCGTTACTACGTCCAGAGAAGTAGAGATGTGTGTAACGGGTTGAATTCCAAATTCACCAATAATGTCCGTTCAAATCCTCTTTCTGTTGATGTTAAGGACTGCAATTGATCGGCCTCTTTTGGGATATACGGATTTTGCTCTGATTTATTCAAGATAAACAAGATTCATACATTTCAATAGATATTGGCCAATTGCAGACCTTAACAAAAACAAATAGAAGATTCAAATGACTTTCACCGGTACCATTATTTGTTTACAAATTCTTAGAAGCGAAGTTCATTGCATTGCTGATCTAGTAACCTTAGCACTTGGTAGAATATGCAGTGATAATACACCTTAAGGTCAATGTACCATCAAGATTTTATATCAGCCCACAAATTCTCTCACATAGCCACGTACACATAACCACTGCCAGAAAAGTCCTACTCACTGCATTCTCGCGGCATTAATGTTGGTTACAAAATTGAAAGGACAAAAAGAGGATGTCCGGCAATTTAACCAGATCGGTGGATACGAGGGATCTACCTAAGAGAGTTGGGATACTCTGGTTCCAAACCAGTAGTGCACAAGGATTCCAAGATCTTGAGGGGACGAATGGTGTATGAACATATTGTTGGTTACCGACCACCACAGAAATGCATCTCCTCACGCTTCTCTACTGCAATATGGATCAGACCTTTAGATCAAAGGCTATGGATGTGGCCCCCTAAGAAAACTACCTGATTCGGTCTGAGAACCCGGGGAGTTTGGCAGCCCTCACATAAATTGAATGATTTATGTGGCACATATGTATTCAGTGCCCCTTTGTACCAATATTTATATGTTCGAATAAATAAATAAATATCAGCTTCAGAAGAATAATTGGCAACCAACAACAGTGATCACCTGTTTTATCTACGACAATGAGTGTTCACGAATCATTCACTCAAACGTACATACATTCTTGATATTCATGTGTCATAATATTGGGGATGCCAGATCCCCAGAAATCACTTGGTAAATGTCATATTTTTGTAATTTTATTTTGGAAATTTGAATTTCTTGTCTTTGCTTCTAAAGCTTCTATTTTCATCTTCATGTCGTATTTCCCATTTGTGAGGACCTTAAATGTCATTGGTTCGTTGTCTCTTTTAATATGCTATTTTGTAACGTTTCCCAAGGACATTTTAATGCTATATATATATACGTTTGAGGTTTGCTTGTCATTGTTTGTACTTACGGTTACTTGTGGAATACATTTCTCTCTTCTAAATCTGAACTTCTCTTTCTAATTTGCGAGGCAGGGATGCATTGAAATAGTTAGCTTGTTTGGACATTATGTCACTTAGTCTTTGTTTCATTCGTAGATTAAGTGATCTCGTAATCTCTTGAAACATAGCATATACCAACTAAGATATCATGAAAAACAATTTATCAGTGAGAGAGTATGATCTTTATCTTTCTGCTTAATAAACCCTTTACATATCTGGTCAGCATCATTGATGAACACGGTGGATCTGATGTTTATGTAAAGGCGCGAAATGACATAGCAAGAGTAGCATATCTAAAATTAAAGAAGATATGGAACTCAAAACAACTGTCTGTCAACCAACATCAAAGTTAGAATTTTCAATACAAATGTCAAGACAGTTCTACTGTATGCTGTGGAAATCTGGAGAACTATAAAAGCCATCATCCAGAAGATACAGGTGTTTATTAACAGTTGTCTATGCAAAATACTTTGGATTCGTTAGTCAGACACTATCAGCAACGACCTGCTGTAGGAAAGAACCAGATTTCAGAGGAGAAAGAAATCAGGAAGAAGTGCTTCAAGTGGATAGGACACACATTGAGGAAAGCATCCAAGTGCATCACAAGGTAAGCCCTCATATGAAATCATCAAGGTCAAAGAGGAAGAGAAAGACCAAAGAACACATTGAGCTGAGAAATGTAGACAGATATGAGAAGAATGAACAATAATTGTATAGAACTAGAAAGGAAGGCCGAGGGCAGAGTGGATTGTAGAATGGTTGTTGGTGGCCTATGCTCCATTGTGGATAACCGGCGTAAGTAAGTAAGTTATTTACATCCATAAATCATACATTATCTATCTAATAAGGAAATTTCTCTTCTTTTTTTCCTTTATTTATTAAAGAGATGCAGTACTACATCTGGTTATCTACGTTCACGTGCTATTCATTATGTTAATGAATATGCAATTCATGGTTTACGTACACTTGTATTTGCTAAACGTATATTACATAAATCTATTTATATGAAATTATTAGAACAGTTCAAATATGCCTCTAGTCTATGCGATAATGAACGTATTCATGCATTAAAACAATGTTATAATGAAATTGAATATGATATGATACCAATATGTGTTACTGGTATAGAAGATAAATTACAACCTGGTGTAAAAAATTGTATAAAAGCTTTAAAGAAGCTGGAATACAAGTAAGTTTAGTATAAATATGATGAGTATTTTCCACTGATTGAAATCATGAGTCATTTGAAGCTAAACAACCATGGGAAACCTGGAAGCACTGGATGGCCGTTTCGTCCTAGTATGGGACTCCTCAGCAGTGTGCATCCACAATCCCGCACCCCGCGAGACTCGAACCCAGGACCTATCAGTCTCGCGTGCGAGAGCCTAATCACCAAACCACTGAGCCGGCATCCGACGGTGTTAATGTCTAACTTCAATCAGTCGCATACTAGGACGAAACGGCCGTCCAGTGCTTCCAGGTTTTCCATAGTGATCTAACTTCAATTGACTCATGATTCCAATCAGTGAAATTTCTAGAATCTCCGCAAAACCTCTTCTGATAATAATGAGTATCATTAAGAAATGATTGTTGCTATACCGATTACTGATCATTCACTATTAGACTTAATCTTACTTCACCAGATTAGTTACTTTCAGATTGTAACAATATATCAAACAAAGATGTAGTCAAGACGGTTAACAGTTCTATTTTAACCCGTCTAATTCAGACGGGATATACAGCCAATATAGAGCAAACTTTAGCAATAGTATATCATGTGAACAACAGTCTATGTAATTCTGTCAGATTGAGAATCTGGCAGACACAGAAAGAGGTGGTTAGTCTAGGCAATTTATCTTTGAAGCTCGGAGTGATTATTGGACATGTGGAAAACACTAGTTGTAGTTTATCTGAATTAAAATTCCTTTGAATTAACCTGCTTTACTTCAGCCTTAGCATTTCATTCGATGCCTCGCCTCTGAGTTGTAATCGTATATACAGAGGCTTTTATTCACGGTTAAACATTCTCTATGCCCTCTTTTATTGGCTATGTTGTTATTTATAAATTTCTCGGGGTATCCATTTTCTTTCAGGGTTGTGTATAATGCCTTTGTTTCATCTTCCACCGTATCTAGAGAGTATATAGTCTTGATTCTATGATGCAGTGTCATAATAAGGTTCCTTTTATATTGTAGAGGAACAATACAAAGAAAGTTTTTATATTGGCCCGTCCGATTCGTTTTCTTGTTTATGTTTCTTTTTAGTGGCCCGTTTTTCCTCCTTGTAAGTAGAACATCTAGAAAGGCTATTCTACCCATATTTTCGTTCTCACATGTGAATTTTATGGACGTGTGAACAGTATTGAAACGCTAGAGTGTTTCTATGAAGTCCATATAGTTGTTACAAAGGATAAATGTATCATCTATATATCGGTAGTAAAATGAAAAATTGCCGATCTCTTGTGCCAGTGGGTCGTTTTCTAGTTCAGAGAGGAAAATGTCAGCTAATATAAAACTTAGGGGTGAACCCATCTTAATACTATCAATTTGTCTATAGATTTCACCACTGAATTTGAAATGTACGTTCATAGTACATTTTAATAATAATTCTTTGATGATCTCCACAAGGATTGTCGTTTCTAGTTCATGTTCTCTAAGTTGTTCACAAATGTATTCTACAGTTTCTCTGAGTGAAACATTTGTGTACAATGACGTTACGTCAAAAGACATCATCGTTTGACCTTTCGTGTTTATGTTTTCAATCTTGTCAACGAATAGGAATACATCCTTAATACTATGCTTCACTAGGTATTTGTGGAGTGGTTTCAAAACGGTTACTAACCACTTTGCTACAGTATGATATGGGGAATCATACATGTCCAAAATTGATCTTAATGGAATATCCGATTTATGTACCTTCGACAGTCCATGTAACCTAGGTAAATGCTTACCTATCGGCTTAATTGTGTCGTATATGCTTGGTGGAATCATCTGTTGATCTCTGAGCTTTTTTAAAGATCTGTTCAGTTCATTCTCTATCTTATTACTAATATCTTTTTGGTTATTCAGTTTCTGAAGTTTTTGGTGATCATTCAAGATGTTATTCATCTTGTCAATGTAGTCTATTTTGTTAAGTGGTACAGTTCCTGTTCCATTATCAGGTTTTGTGAAAATTAGATTTTCGTCATTAATGAATTCATTGATGGCCTCTTTGTGTTTTTTAGTTAATATACTGCTGTAGTTATATCTACTATTGTTAAACTGATAGCAGTAGTCAATTAGATTTGATTTCAAACGTTCAAGTTCTTGGTCAGAGGTCGGGACTAGATCTTGCAGACGGCTGAAGAAATTACTATTCGGATAGAAATGCTAGAGCTTTGAATCTAAAAGAAATATGTTCAGCCGCTCCTTTTACCTTAGCCAGCTTCGGGGCCAACTAGTTACTAATCAATTTTATAATATGATGATGTAATTTGATCATTGTTTATTTTTATGTTTTTGATAGAGTTTTGTTCTTTAGCTGGATGGTTTAGTCATGGAGCTTTCATCGTTCTTCTGAACGACATCATCAGTACAGACTTCAAGTATTCGAATTTCTCCATTTGTGGTTTAAAGCTTGTCCTGTACACCTCGATGTTGATTGGTTCTTGTTGACTTTAAACCTGTTATTATTTACTTCTTTGTTTCGGTTGTATCCCCCAATGGGAGATTATTATTACACTTGATAACTTTTTTGAGAAATTTATTTAGCATCCACCCCTATCTACTATATCTGACCTAATTCATATTATTCTACATATTATGTAATTACTGATTTGTAGTTCCATTATCCTCTCCCTCTGTCACTCACTCCATGTTGACTATATTTATTCTGATCATTATTTATCTCACAATTTCATTTCACTTATAAACTGATTCAAGTCAACAATTTCATATTATCAGAAGGGGTTTTATGGAGATTTTAGTAACTTCAATAATTGAAATCATAAGTCAATTGAAGCTAGACAACTATGGAAAACCTGGAAGCACTGTATAGTTGTTTCATCGTAATATGGGACTTTTCAACAGTACTTCTCTATGATCTCGTATAAGGGACTTGAACTCAAGATCTTCAGTCTCGCATGTGAACACTTAATCTCTAATCTCATACTAAGACATAACAACTATTCACTACACTTGGTATCGTTTGGCTTGTATCTTCCCATTGAGGTTTAAGACTGCAACTGATCAATCTGTTATTGGCATATGTGCATACTGTGCGTATGTCTCGATAGTGCCTTAATTCACAAGCTTTTTGTAAGCATTGGTGGATAACGCGATGGCGTTTGTAGGGAATGATACTGGGTTCGAGTCCCAGAATGAACATCAACTCTGAAATGCAAGTACGTCTAGCTGACGAGTCCGAAATAGGACGAAACGCGTGTCCTGAATTCCACTATCTCTTGGTTTTCAATAGTGATCTAGTTTAAATCTTCACAAAACTCTTTTATCATCTAACTCTTTTTTTTTATTGTTTCTCTAGATATGGATATTAACTGGTGATAAAGCTGAAACAGCAATTACAGTAAGTCAATCTATTGGACATTTTACATCGAATATGTCATTAATAAGAATAATGAATTGTCAAACATTACAATCAACAGCATATAAAATTTATGAACAATTAGATGCATTATATTCCTATCATAATTATCATAAACAAAAACCTAATCATCATTCTGTATTAACAATGTCAAGAATTAAAAGAATAAATTATAATAGAAATTCATTCCATACATCATCATCATCATCATCATCCATTCCAAGACCATCTTCATGTATGGATGGACCATACAATAATAATAACGATGTTTATTATTATGATTCAAATGAAGTCATCTTCAATAAGAAAGGTTGTATAATTAGTCAATATATAAGACGAAAGCATAAAAAGCATCCTGGTATGGCAAATGAATCAATTGGTCTTGTTATTGATGGTAAAAGTTTACAATATGCATTACATGTAAGTAATTTGTTTTGGTTTTGTTTTAATAATATTTTTCTGTTTACTCTTATTTAGTTGTTTGTTTATTTGAATATAGAAATATTGGTAGAATGGCGGCACAGAATGCATATGCACTACACAAGTCACTTCATACAGTGATACCATCACCTTGATATTGTTCAGTTGCTCAGACCGAAGAAGGTGGTTATCTTAGGGGGTCACACTTGAAACCTTCTATCTAAAGGTCTAATTCATAAGGATGTGAAGTATTGTTAGGAATGCAGTCTCATGGTAGCCGATGACCAACAATCGGTTTATATACCATTTGTTCAATCAGGATCTTGGAGCCTATGTGGACTAATGGTTTGGAATTAGGGTTTTCCAACTTCTCTAGGTAGGCCCTATGTATGCACCAATCCAGTTAAAACATCGGAAATTCATCCTCTCGATTTCGTTAACAACAGTAATGCCGCGAGAATGCAGTGAGTAGGACTTCCATGACAGTAGCTGTATACGCGTGGCTATGTGAGAGCATTTTAAGTGGTAGAGAGAATTCTCCCCACAATCAACCGTACTAAGGATTTTGGGGCTTCTGAGTAATTGAACAGGAATATTTGTTTAAACTCTTCTTCAATACAGATTTTCATTAACTGAAGATTCATTGACAATTAGAAAATATAAGGCAGATATACATATCCATTACCACTGTACCGAAAATCTATTTATGTTTTCGATTGTTTGTGTGCGTATATAACAGTCTCTCTTTATTAGATAATCGAATAACTCTTCTTCATTGTACTACGAGTTGGAATTTATTCATACATCAACTTATCATTGATAATTACTTGATTACAGTTGACTTTATTATGTATGTCACTTTTCTATTCTTTACCTGGGAACTATTCGGAGGGACAGTTACTTTTGAAGTATTCAGTAATAAAAATTGTGACGCATATAAGAATTTAGTTCGAAATTGGATCGATAAAGCAAGGAGCAACAAACTGTAGACAATGTTAGTTGTAATAACCGCTTCAGAGTAAAGCTTCTTATAAGTTATTGTACGATCATAAGTTTATATTGTACAGAATTTCCAATTAGATGATGCACTTATTAGATATCAGTATCATCTATAGGGAATAATATTACATGATTGACCGAGTTGTAGAGAAAATTCATCATGATAGTTTATTTATTTCTTTATTTGAACACAGAAATATTGGTAAAAAAGGGCACAGAATATATATGCACCACACAAGTCACTGGATTTGTGTCTGGGCTGTGGTACTACCTGGATGTCCAGATCAAAGAAGGTGGTTTCCTTATAGGGTCACACCTGGAGCCTTCGACCTAAAGGTCTGGATCTACAAGGCAGTGGTGCAACGTCAGGAGATACAGTCCCATGGTAGCCGATGACCAACAATAGGTTCAAATGCCACTCGTTCCTTCAGGATCTTGAGACCTATGTGAACCATTGGTTTGGAATCAGGGTTTTACAACTCCCTTAGGTGAATCCTCCGTTTCCACCAGTCCGGTAAAATCGCTGGACATTCGCTTTTCGTCTTCTCAATTTCGTAAATAACTGTCTGGCCACGAGAAGGTAGTGAGTACGACTTCCCTGGCAGTGGCTGTATAATTTAAATAAACAATTATTATTATATTCATATTGATAAACTAATAAACACATGTTATCTCATGGTCAACTAGTAAAAAACTATTACTGTGAATAAACAAGAGTGTTTAACTCAATTTAACCATTCAAATGTTCATTATGCAGTTAATTTGTCAACCGATTAATCATGATCTGTTTTAGTGTCAGTTTAAAACGAATAATGGAATGATCATTTTGTACTGTCTTCTTCAACCAACATACATTATAGCAAAGCACTACTTCACATCGTTCATTTGTGGTCATTTAATATCTATAAGCATATATAACCGTATTCTTGAGTAATTCATTATCTTCTTAGTGCTGAATGATGTTATCTTAATTGGAATTCATCATTACACAACTTATAGTCGGGATTATTGTTTTAAATCTATCCTTTATGACACTGAAATCACTATCTAAAATCTATTCGATTCATCTTTAAAGCATAATTGAACTCATTTCTAAACATTATGGTGTATGCTACTTATGTCTTCCGATATAAGTAGTATACCACACAAACCGGAAGTGGAAAATCTAGCAACATAAGACGAGAAAGATCAAGTTGAGAAAAAAATAGTAATGAAAAAAAAAAGAAAAAAATTATGAATTGGAACGATCATACAGAATGTAACGACTGAACCGCCAATATTCAGTTTGAACGTAGAACTAACGAACTAAAATTTATTCGATTAGACCAGACTACGTTCATCTGTATAGCGTACGAAGAGTTTTTGAGTTACTCGTATTAAATTATATCAGAACACAAACTCTCTGCTCAATTTAAACGGTTCTACTATAGAAAATAGAACAAACTATATCAGAAATGCAAACTACCTCAAACGGTCCGGCCTATCCTATACAGTCAAAAGTTTCTCTAACACAAATTAGCATGCTAAACAACAAAAGGAACAGTGAATACAAAAGAGTTCAGTACTTAGGAATCAATAAAAATATTTCCAACAAGATGGGATCTGACATCTATCTGCAAGGATTCTAGCAATCTTCCCAAGCAGACAGTCAAGGTTAACAATCACACACTGAACCACGCCGTGACCTTGGGCTTAGTCAAACACGACCTCACTGTCAATAGTCCAACAACATGCAATAGAAAATTAGGTAACAAAAGGTAAGTCTTTAATCAAAATCACATAATAAAAGCTCAGACGACGAAGACTGAAGAACAAACGGTGTGGTTAAAAGAGATTTCAACAAAGGTTAAAATACACGACAGGGAAAAGAAATAAATAAATAAAAGTACTGTTCAACATAATGCTTTGGAGGGATTTTCAGCGGGTTTTTTTTTCGTTACACGGAATATGAAGAACAATTGATGGAAGATTTGAAAATGAAGCATTATATGCAGGGTTCTCATAGTTTACAGAGATATTCCTGTAATTGTGCATGAATTAGTAAATTGGTCTTTCCCAACTGAGTTCTCGTTCATTACAGTAGCACTACAAAGGTTTGATTCAATGATTCCAAATAAAGTAAATATTGAGTAAATTGTCTGTAACAATAAAAAAACTTATTGGAATCGTGGATTGATTATGCAACCATCGAAACCTACAAGCTTTGGACGGCCGTTTTACTCTAGTATAGGACTCCTCAGTACTTTATATCTATAATGCCCCAACCGGGAATTAAAACCAGGACCATCGGTCTTACGGGAGAATGCTTAACCTCCAGACAATCAAGTCATAATTTAATGGTTTGCAAGTATAAGTTCAGTCAATCGACGATATTACAAGATAATCTTCCAACCTCTTTTATGGTAACCTTCTGCACATTCAACGTGATTTAACTCAACCGGGTTATATTCTTTGTTGTGTGATGGTGGATGGAGACTTTTGAGGAGTTCAATATTAGAACAAAACACTTGTTCAATGCTAACAGGTTTTTAATGATGTCTGGCTTAGATCCGTCCATAATTTTGATCAAATTCAATAATCTAAACCCCATATGGACAATAATGGGTTTCAATAGTTGAAATCATGAGTCAATTGAAGCTAGACCGCCATGGAAAACAAGGAAGCACTGGACGGCCGTTTCGTCCTAATACGGGACTCCTCAGCAGTGGTCTAGTGATTAAGCGCTCGCGCGCGAGACTGATAGGTCCTGGGTTCGAATATCGCGGGGAGCGGGATAGTGGATGCACACTGCTGAGGAGTCCCATACTAGGACGAAACGGCCGTCCAGTGCTCCCAGGTTTTTCATGTTGGTCTAGCTTCAATTGACTCATGATTTCAAATATTGAAATTACTAAAATCTCCACAAAACCTTTTCTGATAATAATATATTTCTCAAGATTTTAAGAGAAGACTCCACAATGTGAACTTTAGCCAATTCAATAAGGTTGTAACACTTCAGTTTACTTTATCTTAACGGATTTTACGGTCAGTGAACAGTCCTGGTGCCTATATGTTAAGTGCAAGCTCAAGCCAACATGCACTAATTGGCTAATTTTTGAGAAATCCCTATTAATGTTTTATTCTAGAATTTTCCCTATTGAGCTTTATGTGAACCCTTGTGTTTTTACTAATGAGTCTGCTGTTGTTTACTTATCCTTGCTGTGATTTGAGAAAGTTCAGTGTAGTACAATGGCCGGGAGATACTAGTCGATTGAGGATGTAACACAAACAATATGAAGCCTGTTACCCTGACAGTGTGAGAATCAAAAGGAGGGCTGATTGAAACTAGTGTTACAAGACCTTTAATGCAAATGGATTTTAACACATTAACTCCCTACATTTTAGAACTTACCACTAGCACTGATAATCTATAAGGGTAAGGTGAGTTGTGCTATTTTCCAGATTTTGATCTACTATAACTGGCGAGACTCTAATTTAGCGACGACCTTTGAACAAATCTTAAATGACCTTGACAATTATTAGCCAATCAGAAGACAGTATAAAGTAAAAATATATTACAAGAAAGTAATGAATTACAGTGGATATTCTTCTTTTACATGATTTAAAAACTTGTTAAGGTTTGATAAGGGTTCAGAGGTTCTGAATTCATAATGCATATGGTATAGAAACTCATTCATAGGGTTAATGGTTAGGGCTGTAGCCTGGGGCTAGGGTACTAACATCCGATCAGTTTACAACGGATTTTAGAGGTTAGGGTTAGGGGTGAGGGTTTGGGGTTATGGTTAGGGTCAGTGTGGGGTTGAGGCCTGTCAAAAAAACACCTCTTCTCTAAAATCCGATATAAACCGATCGCATGTTAGCACCCCAACCTTAACCCTAAACCCTAATCTAACCCTAACCTAACCCTAAACCCTAATCTAACCCTAAGCCCTAACCTTAACCTAACCCTAAACCCTGATCTAACCCTAACCCTAACCTTAACCCTAAACCCTAACCTTAACCTAACCCTTAACCCTAACATTAACCCCAAACGCTAACCCTATGGACGAGTTTCTATACAATATCCATTATGAATTCAGAACTTCTGAGCATTTATCAAACCTCAACAAGTTTTTAAATCATGTAAAAGAAGAATATCCACTGCAATTCATTACTTTCTTGTAATACATTTTTACTTTATACTGTCTTCTGATTGGCTAATAATTGAAATTGCTCAAACGCTTCTCATTGGCTGGTCCCTAAATTAGAGTTCCGCCGTCCCATCTGTTTTAACCTCTCATTAAGCACCTCCTCTTTAAAATCCGCTGTGAACCGACCGTATGTTAGCATCGCGTGTTGAACTTGGCTCCGTGACCTTGAAATTGCTCAAACAATTCTGATTGGCTCGTCGCTAAATTAGAGTCTCGCCGTTATCACACTCCAGTTCAAATGATCGTAGGACTCCACCCTCGAGTTCTATCTTACCACTCTTCAACTGACCTATTTAGTATTAAAGAACCTCAGTGAACAAAGGTTTTCTGATCAGTACAGGTTGTTTAATTAGTCACAAAGGGGAAGAGCTGATCATCTTGTCAATAGAGCAGGTATAATCGAGATGACAATATCTACTATTCGAATGAATTGTATTACTTAATACTTATATTTAGTAGGAATTCATTTCTTAACTGACGTTTAATCCATGCACACTATGATTGAATACATTATTTGTTTTATAATCTTGATTTCTTTCGTTAGACCTCAGTACGTGATGCATTTCTAGAATTATGCATGAATGTTACAACAGTGTTATGTTGTCGTATGACACCACTACAAAAAGCATCTATTGTTAAATTAGTTCAAATTGGTTTGGCGAAACATACACGTTATGGTATGAAACCAGTTATAGCTGCAGTTGGTGATGGTGGTAATGATGTAGCTATGATTTTACAAGCTAATATTGGTGTTGGAGTCTATGGAAAAGAAGGTCGTGAAGCAGTTAGAGCCGCGGATTATTCAGTGACACAGTTCAGGTGAGTAGTCCTACTAAAGCTTCTGTATAGTTTTAAAAGTATTTAATGCTTAAATTAAAGAATTCTAATAATATTGGATACGAACTCAGAGAACTAAACGTTAATTTCTTACTGAGAGCTATTTAAGTCCTGGGTTCGATCTCTAGCGGAGTAATGGATGGTCACTGATTAGGAGTTCCATACTAGGAAAAAATGAATGTTCAGCAACTCTGATTTAATTTATGATACCTCTAATTGACAATTGTATAGGTACATAAGTTCTCCACACTGTTTGATGGACTCTGTGTATATGTGGCTTGTCCACCACCAACATATGTTCTTGATTTCCTCTTCAACTGAATGCCAGTTTTTATTTTGTCACTGCAGGTTGTTGTCAATGGTATCCGGTCAACAGACATTGTGCATCTTGCATAGACAATTGTTTATAAGTACAAGTACATTTTGATGATGGTTATGGTAGTATGTTTCCAAGTTTCAGCTCTGAACATTGTATCGACATAAGTTACAAACTATAGATGAAGATTTTTACATGAATCAAATTGTTTATTTTTGTACAATTGTGGTGTGCTACTGATGTTGATAGATATAAGTAGTATGTATCATCAGTCGAAAGTGAAATATCTGGAGGCAGAAGGTTAATAAGATTGGAGAAAAGAGAATGATTGGTTTGGAAACGAAAGAACAATAAAGTCTGAGACGATTGACTAACGTTATTCAAATGAAGTATTTACTGTATGGTTCTCAGATTTTACTAAGAGACTACATTCTGTGAGATAATTTGGAGATATCTTTGAAAAGTGTCGGAGGTATAATTAACTTAAGTTGATTTAAGGAAATATGGCACTTGATATTGAACACTAGAAAATTCAATTTGATCCACGATATTGTGCGACCATCTACCATTGTCTTCAATGAATAATTGCCTCACAACAGACATGGTTGAACTCTACTGGATCGATTGAAATTAGACATTAACACTTTTAGATACCGGTTCAGCGGTCTAGAGGTTAAGCGTTCGCGCCCGAGATCGAAGGTCCTGGGCTCGAGTACCGTGTGCAAGATCGTGGAAGCACACTACTGAGTCCCATGCTAGAATAAACGTCCGTCTAGTGCTTTCAGGTCTTCAATGGTGGTCTAATTTTGATTGGTTTATAATGTCAACGAAATTCAACAGTCTCTACAACCTCAAACTGAAAATGCATTATCATTTTTACGAGAATTTTCAAGCTGCTATGCACTCGGAATATGAAATCACACTCTGCACAAGTGAGAGAGCAAACTAAATAATGCAAAATTAACTAACAATAATTTAAGTGATAAATCTTTCAACTGAACGCTTAAGTCGTTTCCTTAATCTCTTCTAATAACCCCAGACTGAATCTACATGACAACTTGAACGCGAAGGAGAAAACGCAAAATGTGAAAGGAACACTTTACTCTAGCGTTAGTTTGTTTATAGAAAATCGAGAGTATTTATAGCATTTAAGATGGTCTCGAAATTCTGGAAGATTCTGAAACCCTACTGAACATAATAGTAGGATATGTAGTCATCCAGTCGAAAATGTGGCACATGATCTCACTTCCTAGATGTTTCTGAGAAACGTCTATTCAATACCGATCAGATATAGGACCCCTCTGTGCTTTTTTTTCGAGGAATAATTCGGATCTTCCGAACATGAGGAATACGAGATCGTATTACAATAGTTTATAGATCCATTGAAAGCTTACAATATGAAGAATCTGGCAGTAAAATTATCTCATTGTTATACAATAAAAGTATAAATAATAACAAAACACTTTAAATTAGTATCAAGAGTTAAACTTTATTCGATAGTTCCCCCTCCCAACAAAAACGATCTCGATCTTCAGAATAAATTATTGCAACTGGAACTTGACTGGAACACTGAAAAAGCTTGTATATTATTTATAAGATTATTGAGACCATTTAGAATAGGCGTAGAGCATTAATCAAATAAAATCACTTCTGTAAATCTTATGTAAAACTCCATCTGGAGCCTTTCTACGGTTATTGTAAGTCTCATGCCACAGGAAGTGACCTTGCTAAAAAGATGCTAAGATGAAAAAATATTTATTTTCACTTTTTAAATTCTGCTCTGCGATTTCAAGGATCATTATCTAGAAGAATAATGATGCTTTGTGGTGAAAGCTCAGATTCGTTCTATTTAAGACTCGTCAGCTGAATGTATCTGTATCTCAGAATTGTTGATGTTCAATCTAGGACTCGAACGCAATACCTTTCGCTTCAACTGCCATAGCATTATCTACTTAGCTACTGAGTTTTAATAGCCACTTGCTTGTACAATGGGATGAAGTTTAAAATCATTTAGTATTGTTTACTTGAACCTTCCCATTGGTGTTTAACACTGTAATTAATTAGTCTCTTATCGGTATATGTGTATATTGTGTGTATTGCCTCAATAGTGCTTTAATTCACAAGCATTATAATCAAAGGTGGATAGTGGTTAACGGTGGAATCCAGTTTGACGCGGGTTTCGTCCTATTTAAGACTCGTCACGTAAATGTACCTGTCATATATCAGAGTTGATGTTCACTCTGGGACTCGAACTGAGTATCGTTCACTTCAAACATCATTGCATTATCCATCTATAGCTACTACTTCCTTATAGTCACCTGCTTGTACAATGAGATGAAGTTTAACTTATATCTTCTTCTTATTGTTTAACAGATTAGTAAGTTTCCATTCATATCATGAATAGATCAATATTAGACTACTATTGAACACTTGAAAGTATTGAATGTATTTGTCATAGAACCATTTTGACAATGTATATACATGATCTATGAATCCTAGTAAGCGTTACTATCTATAGAAAGATAGAAACCCAGCCACCCCGTACCACCACCCCCCATTTTATTTCATTCCCATTATTCTTTTCCCTTTTTTTCTTTTCTTTTTTCTTTTTTATTTTTTATAGACATATTCAACGATTATTTTTGTTACATGGACATTGGTCATATTATCGTATAACAATAACCATGTTATTTTTTTATCATAAATCTGTTGCATTTGTATCTAATCAATTATGTTTAATTTATTTTAATGGTTATTCAGAAATTCCATTATTTGGTACCATTTTATTTGTGTGTTATAATTTAACAATGACATTTTTAGTTAGTTTAGGTTATGGAATGTTTGAACGTCATATTCAAGAAAAGATTCTATTGAATAAACCATATTTATATAAAGAGGTAAGTAAATGATACGTTTTCTTTTATATATCATAAGATCATTTATGAAGTATAGAGATTGTGAAGATCATGAACTGATTGATGTTAGACTAATTGTTAGAAACCTGAAAGTATTGAATGGCCATTTCGTCCTATTGTGGGACACCTCAGCAACGTGTATCCATGATCCTACTCTGCGAGATTCAAACTCAGGAGCTGTTAGTCTTGCGCGCGCAAACGATTAACCTACTGGACCATTGAGTCGGCATTCAATGGTGTTAGTGTTTAACATCAACTAATCCATGAAATTGCGCGATCATAATTTATTAGAAAAAGGGATTCGAACTTGAGAACTTCAATCTTGTATATAAATCTTTAATTATTAAAGCATTGAACCAATTGATATAGAATAGTGTTGATAGGATTCTTTAGAAGTAAGCATCTATGATCCCGCTTTGTAGAGTTCTAACTTAGGATCTATTAGTCTCACATGCGAACGATTAAATGTAGACCATTTAGCTGGCCGGTATACAACGGTGTTAATGTCTAAATCCAAAGAATTCATGAAATTGAGCCATACGTCCACCATTGTCTTCAGTGAGTTAGTATCTCACAACAGACCTGGTTGAACTCTATTGATCAAAGATTCTCACTAAAACTCCAGGAAGTACCTATTGAAGCTAGTCACAAGTGAGCATATGATGTTTATAATCAGAAGGGGATTCTATTTGAATTTCAATAATATAATGGTTGAATTCATGAGTTGATTAAAGTTAGACCATCATGGAAAACCTAGAAGCACTGGAAGGTAGTTTCGTTCTAATTCGAGACTCCTCATCAGTTCGCATCCATGATCACATTCAAGGGATTCCAAACCATTATCTATCTGCCTCATGCTTAACCTATAGAGCATCAAGTTGACATAATATTCTATCTATTTACAATTCATATTGTTATAGTTTAATCAGTTTCTATTCATTATTCTTTCTTATTTTTAATTAGATATCACATCAAGCAAATTTAAGAGCATGGTATATTCTTTTATGGGTTCTAGATGGTATATGGCATGGTGTTGTAACATTTTTTATACCATTCTTTTGCTTAGCTGGTGGTAATTTATATGCTGAAGCTATTTTCTATGAAACTAAGAATAATTCATATAGAATTTATGATTTTACAATGATTGGTAATGCATCATTTATTTATTTATGGATTGCTGTAACATTACGTTCAACAATATGGACAAGAGATTTTAATATGATGTTAATTATGTGTCATATTGGTACAACATTAAATGTTGTTATTTTATTTCTTTTTCAAGTAAGTTAGTTGATTCCACTACTACTTTCATTTTAATTAGTAATATATTCCTACAATGTGAACATCAACTCTGAGATATGACAGGTACATTCAGCTGATGAGTCCCAATAGGACGAAACATGCGTCAAACTGGATTACACTTTTAACCACTATCCTACTTTGGTTACTATACTCGTGACTTAAGAGAATATCGAGTCAATACACACAATATGCACAGATACCAATAAGAGACTGATCAATTGCAATCCTAAACATCAATGGGAAGATTCATGTCAAACAATACCAAATGAATTTAAACTTCATCTCATTACACAAGCAAGTGATTATTAGGAGTAAGTAGCTAAGTGGATAATGTGACGGTGTTTCAAGCGAATGATACTGGGTTCGAGTTCCAGATTGAATATCAACAAGTTTGAGATGCAGATACATTCATCTGACGAGTCCCAATTAGGGCGAAATGCGAATCCTTTATTCCATTGCTAACCACTATCCATTTTTGCTTATGAATTTTGTGACTTCAGACAATATCAAAGTAGTCCGTACAGTATGCACATATAACAATAAGAGACTGATTAATTATAGTGTTAAACATCAATAGGAAGATTCAAGTTTAACAATACCAAGTGAATAAATTATTTATAGTTTTAATCCCATTGAATATTGAATACGCTTTGAGTGAATTATCTTCGAGACAGTTCCAACGACTTTGTATAAACATTCGTCTTGATAACTATTATTAGATAACTCTTAACGATGTATAAATTTCAGAAGACAAATATGAAGCATTGACTACAGTTTATTATTATTGTACAATTCAGATCATTAAGTTCTCAGTCACTAAAACAAACTTTAAGCAGCAATTCCTAATGTAAGTGAACGTAAGGGAGAGACTATAGAGGGAAATAATGAGGCGAATTAAGAGTCATATGAATTGAGAAGATTACAGAATATACTACATATACGAAAGCGAAGGCGTCGTCCAGTGATCTAATATTTAAGCTAGAAAGAGAGATATGTACGTGGGCTGTAACACATGTTTATACAGACAGGATCATAATATCAAGACATATAAATAGTTATCATTTGAATGACATAGTTTGATACATAAACTGATTGAAGGGCATTATAACAGCTGACATACATTTAAGTTTGTTCACCGTTAATTTGGTTAAACCCCTTTGTTAACTTATTTAACGGATAGAGTCATCCGTACAATAACAACAACTTAGCTTATATCATTGTACCTTTATTATTGTTACACTTGTATGAATATATATGCTTTAACATTGTGCTTACTGCCTATGCATATATTCATTCTGCTTGCCTTACTATTAGTTGCTTAATTGATTCGATGATTTATTCATTTCCCTATGTATATGTATAGATATGTACATTTTAATCTTATTCATTCGACTCGCATGCTGAATTGCTTGCTTTTTGGCACTAGCTTTTCATTCTGAATTCATATGCCTATAGTTTCGATGACTTGTGCGTGATGTAATAATAAATGTGATCAACACTTCGTATTCGTCTTTTAATTCATACATCATTCAAGGTGTTATCTAGTAACAGTTATCAGGTTGGACAGTATGCAACGTTTAAGGATTATATTGAATACTGACTACAATAGCTTGATGAAACAAAACGTAAAGATTTAAGGGCGAGACTCTAATTTATGGACGACCTTTGAACGAATCTTAAGTGACCTTGAGAAATATTAGCTAATCAGCAAACAGTCAGTATAGAGTAAAAATATATATATTATACAAAACTAAGGAAATAAAGTGGATACACTTCTTATATGTGGTTCAAAAACTTGTCAAGGTTAGAAAGAGGTTCAAAGATTCTAAAATCGTAATGCATGCAGTAGAGGAAATCATCCATACGCCTACAGTATAGTTGGCCTCTGGAGTCATCATAAAGTCTCAAAAACTCTTTCAGCCTCGACCACATAGCTTCAATATTGTTTATGTGCACTCCGATTGGTGAGTGTACAAAATGCTACTTGTGGATAATGACACGATGCACATAATCAAGCTTATGGAGGAGTCTGTACGCTCTCCAATCATCCGTATGTAGTGTAGTACCTGGCTGCAGCCACTGTTACTGGTGCTTTTATTATCCAGTTCTCAATAATTGTCATAATTCATCTTGGTTAGGAATTATATTTGGGGTTTTCATGACGAACTGACATCAGCTATAATGCCAGAAATTTATTTAGCCAAATGCACGAGAAACGTTCGCGTTAAAATCCGAGATCTATTATCTTATACCTCATTGTTTCGTCCACAAATTATAGTCCCGCCGTTTTATATGTTATACCCGTTCAATTATCACGTTTTGTATAAAATTCCCTGTGAACCGATCATACGTTAGCATTAAGCACTGAAGTTGGCGCCGTAACCTTGAAATCTCTAAAACGCTTCTGAATGGCTCGTCCATAAATTACAGTCTCGCCGGTTTAAGTGTAATTAACACGTTATAAACTTACTGTCTCCTGCTTTATCGCAACGACCTCACAGAACTGTTTAAGATTTAAGACGGTATGCTATGGGTACTCGTTTACATGTTACATGTTATCGAGTATTCTGGTTAATAGCGTTTTTTTTTTGTCATCATACGTCAATTTTTGTAATGTTTGTGCTTGTTACATAACTTTCCTTCTCATTAATTAGTAGCTTGACGTAGTTGTTACTCACTACCTAAGTGAATGCTAAGTCAGCTTAATGTAAACTTAAACAAGTGAAACTTCTCGAATCTAGAACCGTTAAGTTCTGCTTATTACGTCGTTCTTTGGATCTTATTAAAAAAAAAGGAAGTTTAATACAGTAATTGGTATCTCAGATCAAATTACAAAGTAACAATCAATCTGACATGTACACTACAAATTAGAGACAGTTAAATTAATGTTCCATACAATGATTTTACTGCATCAAAAGACTGCTTAAATATGAGAACACTTACAATTCATACAACTTAATGAAGATCTAACAAACCCAAAGCAAATGAAATATAGAATAACCGCCTCATAGTAAGCCGTTCATGGTCATTGGAACAAAACGGTAAGCACCTTTGAGTGTGTATACCATTTTCTAACATCCCTTAGAAGATTGATTCATTTGAATGAAAACATTTTTGTGTATAATTATGATTTCAATTGATCTTGGAAGTTA